CGGGCCTGGCCGGGGGTGGCGGCGGTCGGTGCGGCCCCGGGGCGCGCTGCCCCAGAGCCGCGATGCGCGCGCCGGGATCAGCCCCGGCGTGGGGACGCGTGCGGGGCCGGGCGCAGGGCGAGGGCCCACGGCCCGCCTCTCCATCTGGGTGGCGGGCGGCCACTTGCCCTCGCGCGCAACTTGGCGAGTGGAGAGGGGCCGCGGGCCGGTCCTGGGCGCAGGGAGACCGCGGCCAGACCAGCCAGCGACGCCGCTCTCGCCGGCGAGTGAGGTGCTGGCCCTGCGAGGCACAAAGGGACGCTCCGCGGTGTGGGAATGCCGTTCCGCAGCCTTCCGCGACGCGTGTGCGGGGTCGCCCATACTCGGCGCGCGGGGAGCTGGCCAGGTGCACAGCCATCATCCTCGTCTGGCCTATGGCTTCAGAGAGACCCCACGTCGGGGCTCGGGGACACCTTTACCGCTAAAGCCTTAGGTTTCAAAGTTGCAACTTCAAACCTGCTACTGTTTTGGGGAGGCAGCATCTTGCCAGGTCCCCTGCCATTTTCTCAGCATCTCTTGCCCCGTTGTTTCTTCCCAGACTCTGCTTCACCCTCCTGGCACCCAGTATTCCTGGGTTCCTGGAGCCCCTCTTCTCCTGACGCTCGCGCCCTGTTCCTTGACGATATGCCAGGTCCTTCTGGAGGGTGCCCTGAAGGTGCCACCTGTCTTGAGAAACCAAGGTTTTAACAAATGACAAGCCTCAGCCAGCTGGGAACAGGAACGAGCTTATTTGAGAAGCAGCACAAATGGGGGTTGATGAGTGTGGCGCTCACCTTCATGCAGTGACCCTCTGCCCGTCACCCCTGTGCCAGGCCCTGCCCCAAGGGCTTTGCAAATCTGGACTCTGAATTCTTGGAAGTTACTCTCACTCAGTTTTACAGCTAAGGAGACTGAGGCGTAGGGAGACGAAGAGCAGGGGTGGGACCCGGCTGTGGCTCAGGGTCTGCGGCCACTGATTCCCGACTGACCGAGTGTCTGTTGCCTCCCTGGGCTGTGCGCTCACACCCACTCAATAGGCAGAAGTGCACATGAGCACCCTGCCCCAAACGGCAGGTCTGACAGGCCGCCCAGCCACGGTCAGGCTGACCGTTGAGAGCTGGCCTTGAGCTCAGACTGCCACCCGGCTTAGCGGTGGGGCCGGCAGCGTCAACGTGACTTCGGCGTTTGGATACTGCACGTGTGCCTGGGAGTCTGCGGAGGGCTGGGGCGTGTCTTGCACTTATGAGCCTCAGGCAAGGCCATGCTGGGCTGTGCGAGAGCTTTGAGGAGGCGGGGATGGGGCAGGAGAGGGGAGGGTGCTCCTGGTCTTGTAGCGGGTCTCTGGGTGGGATGCTGTCCGCGGGTAACAACTCCTCAGCCTTCAAGGCCGCGCTCAGGCGACCCTCCCCTCACACCCTCGGCAGACTGTGGCCACAGCAGTGTATCGTGGCGCCGCGTGGGCTCACCGTGAGCGTGTGGCCGCTCACCCTGGGCTGGCCCTGCCCGTCGGTGCTGGGTTCGGGCTAAGTGGACCACAGCTCAGGAGCCCAGGATGTCAGGGAGGTGGAGGCCAGCGCCCAGGTGTCAGAGGTGTGGGGTGCTCCCTGCTCACGCCCTGGGGAGCATCTTAGCCCCTGGGCTCTGGCCTCGGGCACAGGCCAGCCTCCGCCTTCCTCCAAGTCGGCTCCCTGCGTGGGTGTCTGCATCGCTGTCTTGGGAGGACAGTCAGCATGGGACTTGGGCCACCCCAGTCCAGTCTGAGCTGACCTAAACATGGTTATGTCCGCGAAGACCACTTCTAAATTAGGTCATGCTTGCAGGTGCCAGGGCTCAGGACTTGGGCTCATACTTCTGGGGAACAGTGGTGGCCGTGTGGCAGAGGGACTCCAGAGGAGAGGCAGGGTCCAGGAATGTGCAGGAATCGTGGGTGAGCTGGTACGTGGGCTGCCGGCTTTGACCCACAGCGGGAGCGGGGTGGTGAGAGACGGTCACAGCTGGCTTGGAGGGAACCACAGGGGACCAGCTGCTGGCTGAAGGTGGAGTGGCGGTGTCCTCGCAGCCTCCAGTGGCCT